CACCTCCACCCACAAACATCCGACACATCCGCCACCCACACACATCCGCCCAAAATACTCCCAGCAGCGTCGACACCACCTCCACCCACACACATCTGACACATCCGCCACACACATCCGACACCACCTCCACCCACACACATCCGTCGACCCTGCTGTCGCTGCTGTGCGACACAGCAGCGTCGCGCTGCTGTGTCGCATAGCAGCGACACCGCTGCTGTGCACAGCAGCGGCAGCAGCGACGCTGCTGCAACACAGAGGCGACACCGCTGCTGTGCACAGCAGCGTGTAGCAGATCCGAGGGGGGTGGGAGAAAGGGAGGAGACGGTGGTGTTTGCACGAGCTCTGCATTCAGAATAGATCGTCGGAGCTCAGCTCATGGTGGAATGTCGAGAGCCGGAGCTTTATGTCGTCGCTAAATCGCCGGACCGACGACAGAGAGCATGGAGAAGAGAGAGGTGACCCATGACAGGGACATTGGAGAAGAAGGGAGAGGCGAGCGTGAAGAGAGAAAGAGAGAGATGGAGATATATTTAGGGTTTGAAAATGGGATTATGGATGAATTGCCTGAATTGGGGGAGGTTGATTAATTATAATATTATTAGTAATATTAAAATATAAAATTATTACCTGATTTAGGATTAATTAAACTCTCTTACCTGATTTTTGAAAAGTATTCTTTAAACACCGGTAATTGTGTAATTTTCCCTTATGTTGGTTGGATTTGGGTTGAGGCAAAAACCAACCCAACTCATGTCCACCTCTAATAAAAGTATCGTTTACCCAAGAAAACATTAAAAAGGGAAAATTTCTTAAAAAATAACTACTCCTGTCGAATGAAGGTACTGTATTTGGCTTCAGTATATATTATTGAAATATTTTGCACAGACATCGCACTTCTTTCTTACTGAACACGGAACACCTTAAGTTAAATACAAATTGACACAGAAACAAAAGAGAAACTACAATACAGATTTTTGTACATCATCCAAATTTGACTGAAATATACCATCAAAAATCAATTTAAACTGTGAATAATAATTCGGGGGAAAAATAATAATAGCAAGGCACTGGAATATACATCCGTGAAGGATATGGTGTATTCTAAACATGTTAATTGGTGTTCGAGGTAATTGTTGTAAAGCAAGTAGTTGAATAATTGAAAAATGTACTCAAAAAAGATGAATCAAAACTTTCTTAAGCGAGGAATCGTATCCCAAAATTTCATCTTTTTTTAGTTTATCCTTGTATAAAAATCCGCTCAAATTGTAAGAATGCAGCATGAGCAGATTTGGAATCCTGGATGATTTGCAATGAAGCAGATGCTGCACCATAAACACGGGAAATTTTGATCTTCGGTTGCATATTCAAGGGCTAATTGTCTCTTTAAGAGGACTTTCAGACACTTCCTGATTCGCATCTGCCATGATCGAGGTTAGCATTTGGTGCTTTCTTTCTTCATGGGCTCTCCTCCTGTTCGATTCCAGGATAATAAGTAATGCTGTAACATCAGCGGGGCTAACACCACCTACTCTACTTGCTTGTCCAATCGTTTGTGGCCTGACCTGGAGCGTAAATCAGCATTTCAGAAATTCAATATTTTCACAACACAAGCATTTTTGCAACCGTGACAGTATCTTGACAATATTTGTGCACGATTGTAGGCAATAAAATAATTTGTATCAGAAAAATGATAATCATTCTGCTAATAATTCAGAAGTAATAAACATTTTCCAATCATGGCATACGCATAATTATGGAAAAATAAATGGCACCATGATAATAATCATGCAAGATACCTTTGACAGTTTCTCACGTGCTTCATGTGACAATGTCGTCATTGCATAGTAATCAAGATCCTCTGGAAGTTGTCTGTGTTGTTGATTAACCATCTACAAACCGAAACAACCTCAAGACATAAGATTCAGCCCATCAGCCACCACACCACAATATAGTAGAACTGAGATCCATGGAATATTAGCCCTTCTGTGAAGTTGTGAAAAGTGAATTTATTGGGAGAATTTGTGGTTAACAAGTAGGGAAAGGTTATGGAGAAATGTGGAAAATATTATTTTTGGGGAGTGTGTGGTTGAAAATGAGTGAAGAGAAGGTGATTATGAAAAAATCAGTTTCAAACAAGAGCTTAATATACTAGTAACACTAGTTAAAACATTTAAGTAAAAAAAAAGTGAAAATAAATCCAACAATTCAAGCAGTTAAATTTTATGAATGTGAGCAAAAAGATGATAGATTAACGCGGATGCTCTGGGAGTTATTTGGCTCATTTTGCATATAAAACATGACATACAAAAAGAACTAGCTCAATGTACTTAAAACACGTTCAGAAGCACACTGTCTGACTCTTAAGGCCGTGTTTGGTAAACAGTATTAGACAAAATTGGATAGTGCCAAGGGGAAAAAAAAGAATCTATATTGTCAGTTCTGAAATCAAACATGCGCTATATTTAACTATTTGTCATGATGCTTCAATTATTTACCTGCTGAAGTTGGTTTTGTTGTCGTACAATGAAGCCCGCATACTTGATGTCAATTTCTACGCATTCTTTCTCCACCCTAGATAGTAGATTATTCCCAAATCCATGCTTATCAAAAATTTTGTATTGCACATGTGGCTTCTTAAGAAGGCTTTCTAATGTTGATGAATCCCTCACTGGCTGAGCAGACACTTCAGTGATTTCAGCAGCTAAATCTCCACCTGAAAGCAGACAAAAGGAGAGACTTAAGTTAAGATGGACCAAAGAAGGTTTTCCAACTTCTACCAGATTCACCTATATCGTTTCATCTAGAATGCTGTGAACGACACAATTGGGAGAGGTTGGTTGGGAATGAAATAAGGGGAGTCTGGTTACAAAAGTGCAGGATGCGGTATCCAAGTATTTTGTAACAAGATGTTCTTTAGTTCTCTCTACCCTTCTTTTTCTATTTACTCAAACATAACCAATTTTAGGTGATTAGCAGTGTGTGGATTATTAATGATTATTCATGACATGATTTTCAACAAAAGGGAACCACGATTTCTAGTTCTTGTGGCAGAATCGTACAACTCATTAAAATGATATCAACCATCAAAAGAAGACAACAATTTCTATGCGGATATAGAGCACCCAAGTTTTTCCGCTCGACATACTTTAATAGTTCCCGTCACTTCTGATTTAACATACAAAACATCATCTGTATATCTTGCAGAAGATGACACCGAAAACTATAGATCAGTCTTTAAAAGAAAAAGGAAATGATCAACCTGAAATCCTGGTTGTCTTAAGTCTCTGTTTCTCTTCTGAAATCCGGGCCTGCTTGTCCAAGTGCACTTTCCAGCGCCTATCATCTATTAAACCGATATCACGTCCCAGAGGTGTGAGGCGGCTGTCAGCATTATCGGATCGAAGAAGCAAACGGTGTTCTGAGCGGCTGACAGAAAATATATTTTAAGTAACTAAAACAAACATATTTTTTTAAAGATAAACAATGGGCTATGTACAATCCGTTTTATAGTCAAAAGTAAGAATGTAAACCTAAATACCTGGTAAGAATTTAGAAGTGTTTTGTGCATCAAGGATCCACATAAGCTAATGCATGTGTCCCATACCAGTCTATGGATATAAACATAGAGAGCATTTATACTGTACTTACCTGGTTAACATGCGATAAGGCTCTCGAAGGTCCTTCGTCACCAGATCATCAATCAAAGTCCCTATATAACTGCTTTCCCTCTCAAGAACTATCAAGGATTTACCAGCTGAATGTCTGGCAGCATTAATACCAGAAACAATTCCCTGTCAAAAAGAAAAATATTGGAAAGGATTATCCCTGGCAGAGAACAAACCATTATGGTATCCTCCATAGAAATTATGAATTTCAACTTGTTATTTATCTCCAAATATAGCCCCTGTTTGAGCCCAAGTATTTGAAAACTCATTTTCAACTACACATTTTCTCAATAAAATAATTTCGCACAAAACCCAAAAACTTTTCCTTTACTTTTTAACCACATTCTTCAAAAAAATCACTATTATAAAATCTATTCTCCCAAAAAATGGGGTTCAAACAAACAAATAAACACCTGTGCAGCAGCTTCTTCATATCCAGTTGTTCCATTTATTTGACCAGAGAAAAATAGTCCCTCAATTTTCTTAGTCATGAGGGACCGAAAACACTGGTGTGCTGGCAAGTAATCATACTCTACAGCATAAGCAGGCCTCAACATTGAACAATTTTCAAGACCAGGTAACGTTCTCAAGAGTGGCAGTTGTAGTTTCTCTGGTAAACCAGTAGAGAACCCCTGCAGGATAAGCAGACCAAGATGGTTTAACTGATATAATAAATTTATAATACAAACGTCAAATTCATATTTCCCCTGGCAGTGCAACCAAACTTTATCAAAATAATAGTATACAAACATCATTCATATACTAGATTCAGAATCCCTACCAAGTAAAAGATTGCAATTTTACAAATACTCAAGAGAGCTGTAGAACCCTCTTATTTTGCAAGGGCTTGGGATAACAATATACATTTTTACATTCACTTGTACTTTTACCCTAATCGAATCATGTCTAGACTTGTAACAGCTTCCAACTTCAACCCCATTACACAATATAATACTCACATTATATGAAACAGGAAAGGCCCTCAACGTGTTACTTTAAATAAGCAAACACTTAGTCAGAATATGGGTTTTCATATGTGGTGCACTTTTATTTGGATAATGAAGCTGATTAGTTTCCGCATTAGCATGTTCAAGATATTTTGAGCCTTAAATTTCGAAATAAGTTCTTTCAAAAAACTAAAACATAGACAAATTATCAGAGAACAATAAAAGAGAGAAAAATGCATGTAAAGTATCGTGGATTTAGATTAACTGAGAGAAGTTCATATAGTTCTCCGTTAGAAACATATCCACCTGTAGCGCTATGCAAATCAAAGAAACAGCAATAGAGACCAAAAGGTAAAGCTTCAAAAACCTGCACGTAGAGTTCAGGGACACTTCGACCCTCTGGTTCAAGAAATATTTGATGCGACTCTTTGTCCTGAAATCTTACAATCTAGATAGCACAAAATGCTAACTGTATCAGGAAAAAGCAAAAAGAAAATTGGAACATAGATGAAATTTTGACGAGGTCACAGAAACTCGTGATTAGTACATATGGACGGACGGATGGATAGATAAATGGATGATAGGTGGATGAATATATTTAGAGAGAGGTCTTCACAAACATACCTTGTCTTCAATTGAGGGGCAGTATCGAGGTCCCCTGGCTTCCACCCATCCTCCATAAGTGGGAGTCTCATGCAAGTTATCTTTAATTAATTGATGAGTGCTCTTTGTAGTGCGTGTAAGATAGCAGCACATCTGTTCTCGTTCAACATGGTAATCAGGATCAAAACTGAACCAGTTAACCTGTTTATCAATTAGACAATTAATACCATTAGTATAAAAGGGTATGTTTCCCACAAGTTTCAATTAAAATAAGACCACGCTGCCTGACTACTATATTGACCAATGTGTAACATCATGTCCAAAATGCAGAGCATTAGAGATGGTAAAGTTCTAACTGAGTGATTTAGATCATATGATACTATGATTCCAAAATGCAGACATTTGAAATACTTTCCTTCTGCTTGCTGCTAACTGGAACTGAGTTTCTGGCTACGGAGTATATAAGCTAAGACCAAGTGAATATATGTAAAACAGGTTCTGCCATGCATGACCAAAGATTAAGCTGTAGGCATTGACGTAGTTAGCTGAGGAGCTTAGATAGACCAACGTAGATTTCAATAGCTAGAAAACATTTCAGGTAACATTTCAGTGGAGAACAATTATCAAGTCTTGACATCATTATTAAATATGCATGTGTTTGCAATGTTAGGCAACATGTAAGTAACTAGGGTATTTGAGCAATAATTTTTTTGCGTGTGCAACCATGTCTCGCATTCAGAAACTGGACACTGAGTAAACATAATAATTTCACAGTTATGGTTTAGACCATAGCAAATGAATTACTGAAAATATCTTCACCAAAATAAAAACTAGCAGAAGCAAAAAGCTTATGTTCATGCAACTGCGACTTAAACCACGTATCGAATTGAGTGGAATGACCTCTTCATCTCCGTGTTGAGGCTCCAATCCTGAGAAATCTACTGTACGAGAATCAACACGCGCAGGGGTTCCAGTTTTTAGCCTGTCAGTTTCAAATCCAAGCTGCTGCAAGTTTTCTGTAATACCATGTGAAGCTGATTCACCAGCTCGTCCTGCAGGCATTGAAGTTTTTCCAACCCAAATCTTCCCGCTCATGAAAGTACCAGTAGTAAGAACTACAGAAGGTGCGTAGAAATTCATGCCAAAGAATGTAAGGACGCCTTCCACATTGTCATTCTTCCCTACCAAAATGTCTGTCACCATTGCTTCCCTAATAGACAGGTTTGGCGTACTGAAAAAGGGGAATGTTAGAAAATGGTAGGTAGGCATTTTTTTAAAACGGTAATTTAAGGTGATGCAGGTATAACATGACTCTATACTTTCGCATTGAAAGTTCTTATACAAGTATATACAATAAATTTAATTTAATAATATTTACACCAGAAAGTAAGTTATGTAAAATAGAGTCTGGAATATGATCCTTGCACATAGCCTATGAAAACAAAAGCCAACAAAAAATTCAGAACTAATGGAGCCCAAAAGATTCAGGAGAAGTTGGAAGTATCCTATGCTCCTTCAGCAATTCAAAACAGTGGTCATTTAGCCCTTGTTTGGGCCCCATTAAAATGAGATTTTGGGGGAAAATGTGTTTAGGAAAAGTGGTTTTGGAGAATGTATGGTTCAAAAATGAGGAAAATTTTTGGTTTAAGTGTAACAGTATTATAGGGGAGAATGTGAGGTTAAATATGAGTTTTTGAAAAATGCATTTTTGGAAAAATGGAGCCCAAAGAGGGGCTTATTTATCCATTTTGATAAAAAGCAGAGTTTTATTAAAGATGTAGATAGATAGATTCTTCTAACCATGAAAAAATAAAAAAAAAGGAAAATCCTTAAACTCGTTAGATGTAGAAGTCCATAAAGAAGCCGAATATTTTGCTGTCCCATAAATCCCCAAGCAGCTATACTTCTATAATTTTTGAATTCTTTATGTTTGAACTACCAATATAAGGCCAAAACCACAGGTTCCCACAAAATATCACTTGATGCAGGATGGATTGAAATTTCACCATAGAATTAATAAACAACATAAGATAAAGAAGAAGAAGCCAGAAAAGAATCATTGGAAAAAAGGAGAAATGTTGGTTGCAACCAATCTTAATTTTATCAATTCATAAACTATTCCAATTACAATGAAAAATCAAATAAGTAGTAAAAAAACATAACCTATTATTGACAGGCTTGGGTCAACCCAATAATATAAGCCCAATAATAGAACGTAAATAATAAAAAAATTCCATAATGGAAAAATGATGTTCGCATCAACTCTTCCGGGGTGCGAGAAAACTCGATTTATCGAGTGAATAAACTTCTACCACGGGAGACGATCTTTCGTAAGAACCAAATATCGAAACTCCAATAGTTTGATCCAGATTTGTTGGAGCTTCTTTGTAGGACTCCGTGTACGGTCTGCATCAAGTGGAACTATCCAACAAGCAAGAAAGCACCAAATCTCTTCATCATTGGTCAACACAATCTGTTCATCTAAAATAACATCAATTTTATCTATATGTGATGTAATATGAAGTATTGGAGTAGACATAACATCAATTTTATTAATTCTATGGTGAAATTTCAATCCATCATGTATCAAATTTGGTATCAGAGCCAAAACTTGGGAATTTTTCACTGCACCAGAATAGCTTCAACAATCCAGTAAATTTAATACTTAACAATAGACATATTTACCCACTTCTAACCTTCCATCAGCTAATTCCACCGCCGTCAGCACCTTATTCCACCGCCGCAGTCATCTATTACGTTCAAACAACTCCCCAACCAAACACAATCGCCGGCTCAAAGCTGTAAAAAAAAAAAAAAAATCCAATCTACGTTTCCACTACCCATGGCCGCGATCCAGCCTTATTCGATTCAACCTGGTCATCTCTGCCGCCACGCGAGCCACAACCTAAAATCACGGCCGCTGACTTCTTCAATCCTAGCTGTCGATAACACCACCCAATTCACTACCCGCCGACTGTTTCTAATCAGCGACCCAAGAAGTTAATTCCCCTCGCCGGCCGCCAGAACCTTCACCATTCCTCAACCCGACCACTCAGCAAAAAAAAAATCCCAGAGGAGCAGGCGTAGCCAGGAAGAAGAAGAAGGGGAACAAGCCATAAAAGAATTATGGGGAAAAAAAGAGAAACGTTGGTTGCAACCAATCTTAATTTTATCAATTCATCAACTATTCCAATTACAATAAAAAATCCAATAAATAGTAAAAAAAAACCTAACCTACTAGTGACAGGTTTGGGCCAACCAATAATATAAGGCCAATAATAGAACGTAAATAATAAAAAACTCCATAATGGAAAAATGATGTCCGCATCAACTAGAAGAAGAAGACAGAAAAGAATCATGGGAAAAAAAGAGAAACATTGGCTCAACCAATCTTAATTTTATCAATTAATCAACTATTCCAATTACAATGAAAAATCCAATAAATAGTAAAAAAATTTAACCTGCTAGTGACGGGCTTGAGTCAACCCAATAATATAAGCTCAATAATAGAACGTAAATAATAAAAAAAAATTCCATAATGAAAAAATGATGTCCACATCATCGCCATTTCGAGATAAAAACTAACTTTTTTTCCATAATTAGTCCGCCACACCTTTCAGGAATACTTAATTCAAAACCAGTTTCTCTTACAAGCTGCACCACAGAAATCTAACAACATCACGGTGTAAGAATAAATTATCATAGTTTATGTTTTCCTCTTACACATCAAACGAGAAAGAGATAAGAGGACTCTCTCTTAAAAATTTAGCAAGATTTCAAGAGGAAATGTTCAAATAATTGATAACTTGGAAAATCAACTACAGTTTAGAAATAGTAATTGCAACAGAGTACTCCAAGGACTCCAACTCCCACAATCTTCTGTCAAAATACGTGAAACTTAGGAGAGAGCTCTCAAGAATGGATAACAAAGAAGATGATATTGTATCCCGTAAAATCTCGAAGAAATTGAAAATTCTAGGCAATGGAGTTATTTTCAGAATCAAACAATGTAAATGGTAACCTTTTTCAAGGCCAAGACTTTGTAGGGTAAAGCTAAGGAGCAATAGCCCCTCCAAATTTCTTCCCGGAATCTGATTCTGTCTCTTGTCCTGACATGCCATTAGTGAACCACATGAAAAAAGGAAATCCTTGGTATGTACTCATTTTTCTTAAATCTCACAATAGCCCCAGATGAAGTGTGGCAAGTTGATTACTTTATCTTAAGCCAACTGATTTACCTCCAACACAAACACCAGTTTGCCAGGTTACCAATCACCATTTCAATACTAACTTACTAGATATGCAACCCAATTGTTCTCTAAACATAAACAGACATGTAAAAGTTACAAAGTTCCGCAGAGAGTTAGAGACTGGAGAAGGGATTTTCTACTTATCCCATGAAAGTTGAGGTGTCAAACAAGCATGTTTGTCTATGGATCGTAATTGAGCGAAACATATATCATCTATAAAGGACAACCAATATTGACTAGCCATTATAAGATTATGCAGAAATAATGACGCCTGACGGTGCAACTGAATAAAATTATGGCCCACAATCTAAATTAAAGATTTTAACAATTGAAGGTCATAATGATTGTGACCTAATAAAATTATAGTTTCCTGCTCTTTTTACAAATCTGGAAAGAAGCAGGTAGTAGATGCCTTACAACATTAAGATAGAACATCTGAGAGGAAAAAAAAGGGTGAGAAATCTTAACGAGTTAAAGTTGGAAACTCAAAATCATCTGATATAAAAAAAGTTTGAAACGCGTAAAAACTTCACCAAATGAGAGACTAAAGGCAATTATTTAGAGGATGTCTGTAACTCCTAAATGTCATACAGCCCCAGTGAAGTATCAAGGTCAGCTACTTTTTCACTAACAATGGGGAAATGACCCAACATATTGTACTTCATTGTTGTCTTCACCTTTTAAACATCAATTGACTGTAGTAGCACCAGCAGGAATTCTGAGTTTGATAAGTCAGAGACCTTTCTAAATGGAAGTTAAACCATTTTAGGAGCAAACTAGTGTTCATTACCAGATACATCCAGATTACATTGCAGACACAACATGCTAAAGTGTGAAACCACAAAACTTAAATGTGGAAACAAACATTTCTACAGGATCCATGGTAAACTTGCCTTTCCACAATTTTCCTCATTTCCGAAGCATACTCCCTTTTATCAGTTTGAGCACGCAGTGCCCTAACAGCAGGGCCCCTTGAGATATTGAGGATTCGCTTTTGCAAATAACACCTGAAATATGATCATATTATGGCTAGTCATGTGCCGAAAACCACAAAAAAAAGTAAAAAAGACATTTTATCAACTATCAACAGGTCAACAAACATAGAAGCAATGCCCAAATACGAACAAATAAAAATGGACTAGCAAATATGGAAAAAATAAAACAATTTCCATTTATACCTGAATATGGCCCTTCAGTGCCAAATCACCACGCGATCTTTTCACTATGATAATTCTTTTGTATTTCCTCCTCAATTATATTGCTTGTGTTTAGTACTTCTTCCAAACCCCTCCCGCTCCCCCCACCCTCACCCGGTTATGTTGTGCAACGCTCATCTCCTTAGTTGAAATTTTTTGTCTGGATAAACTAAGAGCAGAAGGTTTCGAAAAGCGAATTAATGGCCTGTGTAACAAAAGCTTTTGATAAAAAAATTTAGTAGATTCTGATAAAAGATGAAACGTGAGGTTCAAAAGTTGATAAAACTTGTAGGTCAAATGAAATGTGTGGTTATAATTGAGGTTTGACCATTGAAAAGTTGATAAAATTTTAGCAAATCATTATCAAACAAGCACTTAATGTCGAACTAGTTTCCATGAATTAGACAAAAAACTGTGTAAATTGTAAGAGAAACGTGCAGCAATGTAAGTGCTCTGACATAGCATCCAACACAAAGGCTTTCATTTTTATTCCTTGCACTTGAAAGTTCAAATGCATTCAGGCAGAGCGAAATAAAATCAAGCCGATACAAAAATCCTTATCCTACATGAAATTAAGATCTCAATACATTTGGATTTTAAGGAAATTGCTTATCCAGAATACTTCATTCTATGTTACATTCAATTTTAAACGGACTCTTCAAGTCTAATTATTCTTTCACTGACCATTCATGTGTTTACTGCCTTATCTCCAGAACTGAAACTATTTAATATGAAATTCTTTTCTTCACAACTGACAATCCAATGATATACTAAATTGCAAGGTACATCCAGGAAAAGCCTTGAAATATATTCAACAAATAAATAACATGTTCTAAGTGGGAAAATGCTTCCCCGGCATGATTCAGGGATTTTCCAATACCCAGATGCTCTAACAAGACACTTGGTATGGACAAGCACTACAGCTTGGACAAAATCATTTATTATGTGCATGCAGCCATGCACATAAATATGAAAGGAAGAACAGAAGAGCAATCTATTCTGCTTGTCTATTTGAATATCCAATCAAGGATAACAATATTGTATTCTCTTCTTTCTGTTTACCCAGTAAAATTTAAATGCCCAATCTCAGTAAGAGGCACAGACATGCAAGGACGCATGAAGTAGAAAACTTAAAAACCATATACAAATTTATAAATATACATAAGTACATAAATATGCATGCATACAACAATTATATAGATACAGAAACAAATAAATCCCATTAATGCGTGTGCGCGCACGCACTCATGGACACAGATAAACAACAATCTTTCCCTTACTAATATTTTAAACATGTAGGACATTTAGTGTCACAGATTATCAGGCATTCATTGTATAATTTTAAATGATTATTAAATGTGATCCATCATTGTCACAGTTACAATAACAGTACATAAGAGATATATCATATGAACTAAGCACAACTCATGCACACTGATGTGATATTCTTTTCATCATTCAACGCCATTTTAACAAAATCTTTACGTACTTCCGAAAACAATCTTCACAAATCTGAATCACATTTGCATGATTAAGCAAATTTAACCATAAGTGAGTTCAGATGTGTTAGTAAACAAATCCATAAAACTATCAGAAGGGTTCAAAAGGAAACTTAACATTTACATGGTGACATGAGTGCTGAACACATCATGAATGTTAAGAGCAGGATAAATGTTCAGATGAATGTCTGGACAGTCATCCTTGACATGACCGAGAATGCAATAGCATAGTCAAAGCTAAGGAGGCCAGCAGACAATATGGTCTACTTAGCACTCATAATATATCCCACTAGTTCAGACATCAATGTCAGAGAATTACATCTAGCATATATTCCAGGTTTTTCAGTTGAGATTACCTATCAGCTACCTTTCCAATTTCACCACCAAGCGCATCCACTTCATGTACTAGTTGAGACTTTGCAGGCCCACCCACTGCCGGATTGCAAGGCTGCATTTAAATACACTTAGCAGAAACTCTACGCAAAATTTCAAGCACATTTAAAAGTAAACTATCATGACGAGGAAATCAGTAACTGATTTTGATGCAATTCATTAGGAAAAGAAGAAAGAAATTTTAGAAGTTCAGTTGGTTCTTACATGATCCTTTGGACCCTTGGATGATTCAGACTTCACAGCCTGATTAATCCATTGATAGGATTCATCCAATCAAAATAACTAACTCTGAATTGAAGTAATAATAGAACTACTTCAACTCTCTTTTTATATTATATCTTGATTTTACTTAACGCTCATTTAATTTCTATAATATATTTCTTTTTTTTTTTATAAAATAAATAGGAAGCATTATTTCTAATGAGGTTTCAAGAAGTATCTAGAAATTAAGGTTTGAAGCTTTGGCCTGGACATGGAATTTAGGAAAGGTCCTACACACATTAATGAAATGAATCTTGTGATATCAACAAATTCTTGAGCCCTAAATTATGTCTCCAAAATATCTTTGCAAACAAAAATCAGAAGAAACTCACATAGAATGCATACATGGTTCACTTGAAGTAAGAAGTTAGTGTCTCAGTCTCAATCATGAGTCATGACAGAGTATAGCTTCTCATCGTGAGTAAGATTTTATCTTCCAGCTGAGAATGAATGAAGATCCTTTGTTGGGAACTACATTCATAGAGATAAAGAACCAAAAGTTGCTATTTTAATAGATATATCAGGGAAAGTCCCAGCTTCCCATCCCAAAGGATTATCCATAGAAATTATCATGTCAGACGATGTTGTGAAAACGTTTGATAACATATACCAAAAACTCATTTAAGCAAAGAAATGATAATCTTCACAACTAAAAACTATAATAAGAAAGCTTTATATCTTTATCAATCTACCTGCCATGCAATACGGTCAATGTTGAGCGTAAGAAGAAGTGTTTTTGCCCCTATACGAGCAGATGAAAGGGCAGCTTCACAGCCTGCATGCCCCCCTCCAACAACAATCACATCATATCTTTCATTTGAAGTGTCACAGTGTTTATCCCAGTCTGCAGAAATTTATAATCAAGAAATAGGATTTCACAGTATGTACTCAAAATTTCAGCTTATAAGGAGCCTTCCAGAGAAGAGAAAACAGATTCAATTCGAGCTATTTCTGAGAACAATGTAAATATCGCTACTCCTTTTTTGAATTATGCTATGATATAAAAGTAAGAAAAAGTTAGAGCATTGAGCTTTGTTTGCTCTCCGGGTCATAAATGTAAAATTACAATTGAATATTGCATTTTGTTCTACATAATGTCTAAAGACAAATTTCAGAATCCAAAAAGAGGTGTATTATCTCAAAGAATCAAAATAGATGTAAAATATGTAAATGAAAAATTTTGCATTCTAATGCCGAGTTAGTTGTCCCAATGGTCACTGAACTTATGTCTATGTCTTCGATTACTCATTGAAGTTTAAGATGTCAAGCTTTGGCCACTTAGCTTATCAAAAAGTTGGACGTTACTCACTACCTTAACATGTGTTCCAAATCTTCAATGGAACTAGTGATGTGGCCAACGGAATGAACATGTGGCACCCCATTAACAAATTGTCGCATCTTCGATTGCTCAATAAACTTTAAAAGTGTTTTCAATTGCTCATTGAACTTTGAGGTGGACAAATTTTGGCTATTAAACTTATAAAGATGACATCGATCCGTTGTTTGTTAAAAAATGATTACTGCAGTCACATGGATTACATAAAAGTAATAAAGTGGACAAACGAGATCAGGTTGTCGATCCCACGAGAAATTATTACTCAATTACATAATAGTTAAATTTAATTTTAAAATTTTAAGTTATTTTCACCATTTGAAAAATTCAAATTTATTGTGTGTTTCGTTGTTAAAATTAAATTTAATTAAATTAATATTTAGATTTAGATTTTCCAACCAAACACAAAATAAATTTAATTAAATCCATTTAATTAAACTTATTAAAATCCAAATTTTAATTAAATTCATGATTTGTTTCATTGTAAAATTCATTTAATTAAATTTATTGTGTATTTCATTGCAAAATTCAAATTTTAATTTAATTTTAACACCAAAACACACAATAAATTTGAATTTTTCAAATTATAAAAATAGCTTAAAATTCGACAACCTTATTATTCATACGTGACCCGTGCGATTGCAATACATATTTTTTAACGAATAATAGGTAGACGTCATTTTTATAAAGTTTAGTGGCCAAAATTCGACCAACTCATAGTTCAGCGAGCAATCAAAGACGTTTTCAAAGTTTAGTGAGCAATCGAAAATATTTTTCAAAGTTCAGTAGCAATCAAAGACTTGAAAATTTGTTATCGGCGTGACGGAGCAGTGGAGCACCACATGTGCATTCCTTAGCCACATTACTGATTCCGTTAAAGATTTAGAAGGGATGTTAATGTAGTGATTAAACGTTTTGATAAGTTTTGGCCAATACTGGACATCTTAAACTTCCGTGAGCAATCAGAGATAGATATAAGTTCAGTGACCACTGGGACAATTAACTCTTCTAATGCCACTGGAAAAGAAAAGGATAAAAATTGTACCTTGCGAGGTGGTGGAGGCAGAGATACTAAAACGACGACGTGGTGCTGCGTGAGGGGAGACGAAGAAACCGCTGCGACCATGAAAGCGCAGGCTCGGGCGACAATTGAGTAACTTAGGCCGTTGCTTGGCAGAAGAAAGAGGTGAAAACAGAGAAGAAGGAACGGGAAATTGGGAGACGACTCGTGTAAGATGAAGTGATAAAGTGGTCGCCATTTTTGCAGAGATATGAGAACTAGGCTAATTTTCAGAAAATCAGTAAAAGCGGCAGCAGCAGTAGCGGTGCCAGTGTGCCATGGCTGGATAGAGTGAGTGGTGGAAGCGGGACTACGCAGGGGTAGAAACCGTAGAATCAAGAAATAATTATTTAAAATTAATTTGGAGAAATTTTCCGAGGTACCAGACCGATGGACATGTAGCACTAAACTTCGGCTCAATATGAACCAGGGTAAATTTCAACACCGCTCGCGTTATAAGGGCTATTTGGATTTTTTGTTAAAAATTAGGTTTTTAAACCTGTTTCGCTTCCTTTATTTTTCATTAAATTATAATTCATTTTTCTTTCTTTTCTTATTAATTATACAGTTTTCAATAAAATAATATTATATGTAAATCCAAAAAAATTTCCTTCTCTCTGAATCACACATTTTTCAAAAAAATATTATTCCTCTCATTATAATATGGAATAATGGGAACCACACAGAAGCTTTGTAAATTTTGATAAAAAGTAAAAAAATTTAATAATATTTGTGATTAAAAAGTTGATAAAAAATTATTAATCCTATAAAATATATAGTTAAAAATGAATTTGAAAAAAAAAATATTTAATTGGTGGTCAAATTTTTGCCCTAAAAANGAAGCCCAAATTTTTAACATTTTGAAAGAAGCCCACCCTTCTCTTCCCTTCCACCGAATTCCCAATCCCTACCCTTTCCCCCAATTCTCTTAAGGATAATGCTAGAGGTACATAAGCATCTACATAAAGGTGTCCATAATGCTAATGTGGCAATCATCCGATCATTGATGTGTAAGTATCAGATTTGAATTAAAGGTGAGATCACATGCCACATCAACATTATGGACACCCTTATATAGATGTTTATGTACATCTAGCATTATCCTTCTCTTAATCCCTTCTTCTTCCAATAACCGATTTACCAGGAGATGGGGATCTTCATCTCGTCATGACTACTCGTGAGGTCGACCTTTGGTGACTGTCGTTCGCTTGACTCTTCTGCAAAAAATCGACATTGTCCACTACTTTCCCACCAATGTAAGACCTTGACATCTTACTTCTACTGCTTGAATTCCAATTCTCAGTAATTTCCTGGATGGGGAGGAAGGTAGATTTAGACTCTGCTATATTTTCACAACCTGCATGTATATATATATATTTATTTATTTATTTTTTACTATTTCTGCATTTTTTACTTGGAAAACAGTAAAATAATATTCTTTGCCTTTTTTGTTAATATATGAAATTCAGTGCCGTAGTTTCAATTCCCATAATTTTTGAAGCCTTGTTTTTTGGTGATGAACATTTGATTGGAAAATGAATTTTTGCGAGGATTTGATTTTGGCCAGTTTTTACTTGACAATAATATACTAGCCATTACTGACATGGAGTTACAAAGTCATCTTAAATAAGCAGTTTAATTTTTTGGGCATTTTTTATCACAGTAGGATGGAATTTTTCTTTTATTTTGAAATAATCAAATGAGGAATCATAATTTTTTTTTTTTAGCCTAGAAGACTGGATTATAATATGGATTTACATTTCTCTGCATATATAGTAGACAACTCAAGTTGTACAATGAAGATTGAATAAAGGGGTGTCACGAATCAACTAATCCTTTTCTAATTTAGAATTATATTTAAAAAAGGATTTTTAAGTAGTGCTCCACCTAGGCATATAACCATTTTTGTCTACACAACTTAGAAATGATTCTTCTTCATTTAAGAATGATGAAGTAAGATATTTGATTTCAACTAAAATTATGAAGTTGAAAATTTCTATGAACTTTAATGTGGAACTTCTGTTGGATGCATAACTGATAGGTAAATTGTTGGTGTAGCACAGGTATATCAGATACTGGAATGGCAGCTATTGGATCTGGGCTTTCTTCCCTGCAGTCTTTAGATGTATCCTACTACAGAAAGCTAACAGATAAGGGTTTATCGTCTGTTGCCCCAACCTCAGAGTGGTGCATCTTTCTGGTTGCAAATTTGTAACCGATGCTTTATTAATATCTCTTTCGAAGAATTGTATTTAATGAAATTAGTAACGAGACTATTATACAGCTTTTTAAAGTATGACAAGCCATAAGGAACAATTGTTAATAAAAACAAAGTATTACATTTTAAATATTATCTTTATTGTCTAATTTGAAATTATTTTTTATGTAATTCTGTCATGCCTCCCCTGAACCATAATTCTGGGTCCGCCCCAGATAATGTCACATATGCATTGAAGCAAATGACCAAGTTTCATGAAAACTGACAATTTTTTCTTTATTCAAATTTCTAGAGGAAAGTTAAAGTCATTATTTTGGATAAAGAAAATCAATTTTTCTCCTTCCATTTGAAATTAGGTACTTGTTTATCGTTCAAATAACCATTTAAGGCAAATGCATAACTCAAGTGGTAAGAGCAAATTTTTACCAAAATGTTGACCTAGATTCGAGTCTCTTTTTGGGGAATGGTTAAATCCTTTTATCCTGTTTTCAAAAACAAAAATTACAAAAAATTAAAAATGTTCAAATAATTATTTTTCGTTAGTTGGGAACATCAGTTCCACGGTTTCAAAACACTGGAGACATGGGCCACAACTCTAAAATGTTGATGCCTAATGCAGCGCACTCGTGTGTCAATTTCATTATTACATTTACTGTGGGGTTTTGTTACCCAATAAATTTCAAGCGATAATGTAAAAACATTAAATAATATTTTCATAGGCTTCGACCAATGATGAATTGAATATCAACAATCAAGAATAAAGGCTCGACCCGAAAATAATCCTGGCTATTGGAAGTAACTTAATTACTTATTGTTGCTCATGATCACTTCAGTTCTTGGATGGCCCTTTTTAATGTCCTGGCCCATTTAAATTTGTGTTGGCCCAATTATTGCATATCCTTGGCCCAAGTTGTGGTAACCTAAACTAACCTATATATCTACCACCCTTTGTCTTTTGCCGTATGTGTGTGCCTTGTCTTGTCTTTTAGAGAAAACCGATGGATCTTCTTCTTCGTGCCTTGCCCTTTTTTTTTCTCTTTACATTTGTGGCTTGCAATCCACCATCATACTTGTTTTCCTTGTGGGTACATTAGAAGAATAAAAGCTCGACTTGAAAACAACTTAAACCATTAAAAGCAACTTAATTAGTTAATGTCGCTCGTGACTACTATACTTCTTGGATGGCCATTTTTAATGGCCCATTTACCTTTGTATTGGTCCAATTATTGGATATTCTTGGCCCAAGTTCTGGTAACTTACACTAACCTATGTATCTACCATCCCTTTGCCTTTTGATGTGTGTGTGCACTTTGCCTTGTTTTTGAGAGAAAATCGGCAGTTGCTCTTCTTCTTCGTACCTTGCCTCTTTTGTTTTCTCTTTATCTTTGTGGCTTGCAATCCACCACCATACTTGTGTTCCTTGTGAGTACATCAGAAGTAGCAATCAAAATGATAAAACAAAGTTGTGAGTTGGAACCTTTGCTTGATATTGGTTGGTAAGTTTAAATTGAGCCCATAATTCACAAATTGAAGAGTCAATTACATCACTATTATGTATTGAAACTCAGTTAAACGTAAAAAAAGGTATCGCTATTCAGGCTCTTGGTGTCGACACCAAAGGCCCAATAGCCCACTTTTTCTATCTTTAAGTGCATGGTATTGACACTCGGGGCTATAAGTGTCAACTTCAAATCCCTAGTACAATATTCCGTTTGTAATATAAGGGCTCCAACTAAATACAATTTTGCATAAATCCAGTACGAACAAATTTCGAGCTTAAATATAAAGAATGTCAAAAGTACTACTAAATCATGCTTTCATTAAAAACTTTAGAAAAGTATGAAGGTTTACAGTGATATAAAACTTCCATCTCTCCT